AATCCAGCAAGTATAGATACATTACTGTGCTCTTATCCATGTTGCTGTAATACGCGTTCAAAGTTGAAAAATTGAAATTAAAACGTTTGAAAAATCAGTGTTTTCACATTTCATTGATTTACTTGATAACTATAATAGATAGAATGAATCCAAAAGATGCATATGAAAGCTGAATGTTTGGGGAATGCAGCAAGTATTGACTTATTACTGTGCTTTTATCCATATTGCTGTAATACGCGTTCAAAGTTGAAAAATGGTGCGGGGAGGCGCCAAATGATTACATACATCAAGTTTGGAAACCACTGGATTAAGTTATGCGATAAGTGTGTAAGAGGATTAATTGAAGTGGATTGATTTTTTTTGTGCATGTGTGTTGAGTTTGTTTGCTTGATGGCTTCAATCCGTCGTCCTCAATTAGGTTTTATGTGCGGTTAGGGGATAGATGGAGTACAGATTTGTAGGGCAGTGGGTCAGACGTGTTTGAGGATTTCGCGCATCGTCATCATCCCCTTTTCCACCAGTTCAAGCACATGCATGTTTCTTATGCTTTGCGCAATTTCCATGTATTGCCAAGAGGAAAAGACACCCTTCGACCATATATTCTTTTCGTCGTTTTATATAAATGGCAGTTGTTGATCTAATTGCATCTATGACGTAATTCATGTTTTACTTGTGTGTGTGTGTGTGTGTGCGTTTGGCCTGCATTTGAGGCGCACGCGTTTGCCGCCTCCTACACCACCACCACCTTTCGTCCTTCCTCCTCTTCCTCCTCCTCATGCAACGCGATGAGTTGGCCAGGATGAAGGAGGAGAGCCCCGGTCGGCAGCAATCGATTCATCATTGGGGGTCCGCGCTCTGCCTCTACCAGTGCAGTCCTCGGTGTAGTAGTTGTAGTAGTGTCTGTGGTTATGGAGCTGCAGCAGCTGCAACTTCGTTCTTCCGGTTCCGGTTCTGAAACGACCACCAACCCTCGCGTGTAACACCTCACCTCTCTTGATTCTCTTGTTCTCCTCCTCTTCGATTTCAAAGTGTTATATTCGATTAAAATCCGTAAATATATTGCATTCATCTCCCCCACACACACACACTCACACTACATCATTCATTCATTTGTTGCGCATTTGTTCTTCAAACTACGCCCACACGCCTAATTACCTTCAATTGTTTCCATTAACAGCATTCATTTCCTAACGTATTGTCGACCTACTGCAACCCCCAGGTCACCTCTGACCTACATAACAACAAAAGCCAGAAAAACTGTATCGATTATATTTCACCATGTAATCCATTCCCAATACGCACACACATCAACACTACTTTATTCACTAATTTAAAAATTATACTTACTATAATCTACCAATTTCATCTACATTAACACTACAACTTTAAGAAAGATGAAAATAGTAGTCTTTTTAAATTACAATTAAAATAACAGTAAACTACTATTTTTATTAATACTATTACTTGATGAAATATTTAAGAATGTGCATTCTTTGATTGATTGTGAAATATGGGTTAAATGTTACCATATAATTGCAAAATCGTTTGATGCCATTAACTGTGAACTGGGTCGAAAGGGAGGGTGGATTTTAGTTGGCTTTAGGTCGCCGGGGGCAGGAATTCTCTGCATGTTTGCAGACTTCGACTTAATGTGTTTGTGTCACCGAAGCTTCTTCCTTCCTTCCGCCTCATTTCCGCCACTTTGACCCAAATTCGCTGCAACGAAACAACTACTCCTACTTGTCTCTTCATCGATCTCAATATTTTTCGCCATTTCACGCAATAAACTAGTTTAATTGTTTGCTTTTCATTCTTTGCTTTTAGTCCCCGCAACGTCCGTGACCTTTCGTTTGACGATGATCTCATATTGCACTCGCCTTGCCTTACATTCTAAAATGTTCATTCTTATACAATGAAATTTATAAAATCTGTTAATGTAAAGTTTTCTATAAATTGTTTTGTATTAAAATATATTGGAACGCATTTTTGTTGCATATTGAAGACATCATAAGCATTTGATTAAAGAAAATTCATTGCCAACGGTGACTAGTCTGTCATTCATTTCGTAGGTGGCCTTGCTCGGACGATCAATGGCGTTTGCCAATTAGGAATAGAGGAGGCCCCGAATTGCATTGAACTTTACTGCCAATAATAACTTTCCTCAATTGAATCACGCGCAAAAATCATCTTTGTTTCACCGTTAAAACATACAAATAATCATTGATTTTTATGAATACTGCTATAAAAATAAGTTTTTCATTAACAAGTTAAATTTATAGCAATTATTATTAGTATACAATTTGTGATTATATGAATAAATGATTATATAACTATGTAATATTTTGCTCGTGTTTTGGATTATCCTAATATACGCTCTAGGTTTTGATTGCTATTTGTGTAGTAAATTAGAGGAAAAAGCGCAAAAATCATCTTTGTTTCACCGTTAAAACATACAAATAATCATTGATTTTTATGAATACTGAGATAAGTAAGTTTTTCATTAACAAGTTAAATTTATAGCAATTATTATTAGTATACAATTTGCGATTATATGAATAAATGATTATATAACCATGTAGTAGTTCGCTCGTGTTTTGGAATATCCTAATATACACTCTAGGTTTCGATTGCTATTTGTGTAGTAAATTAGAGAAAAAAGTTATTGAGCTGAAACTTTGATCTGATTTCGAATGCAATATGAGGTGATAAAAGAGGGAATGGGTCATTATCGTGCGGTTTGTACTTTAGATAGATGAGGGTGTGAGTCACGAAGAAATAGAAAGGTTATTAGTTGGTTTGAGTGTGTTTATAAGGTTTGTTGATAAAATTAATTGGAAAATTGGTAATGTATAAATAGAGGATGAGCGCGAAATATCTCGAAGAGAGGAGAACGGAGGTCTAAAAATAGGAGCGAACAGGAGAGAGAGAGAGATATAGAGGAAAAGGAGGACAGTTTTTGGACGTGGTCCAGAGCGATCCGAAAGTTTTCGACTGTGTGTATGTGTCGAGGAAGGAAAAACGCAGTAGAAGGAAGAGATCAGTCGGTTAATTCGGTTTGCACTGGGTAAAAGCAACACCAGTTGATCTGTGCGCGCCCGGAGAGGTCAAAAAGGATAAGATATAATTTCGGTTATGTGATTTGCGGATTTTTTTTTGCGTGTGTATCTCTTTATCTCGCGCGCGTTTGGAAAGTGATGCCTAGTATGGCTGCTTCTCACGGCGGTGTCCTCTACTACGTGGTCAAAGTACCGAGGGATGAAGTCCACGGACGGTGCTCAATTTTTGTATTGCTTTGTTGGATGGATTTTTGATATTGTTGTTGTTGTTTGCAGCGTGGAGAGCGGATGGGACAATCCGTTCAGACCGGGCGGTGATCTGAGCAGGGAGGCCGATGAGATAGTCGAGATGATCAAGGGCGGAAAACCGATAACGCCAACGTCCGGCGGGAACGCGTCCCCGTCGCCGCCCGGCCACCACCAGGACGACGACATTCCTGACAGCAACGACCCTCTGCTGAAGCAGCAGGACATCAACAGCAAGAAGACAGCAGCAGCAGCAGGCGACGTCGTCTCTGACAAGGTGAATTCTCGACCTCTGACGTCCACGCCGAAGAGCGCTAAGAACGGTTCGGCTAACGCAAAGGATGGGCCGAACAACAACGCCGCCGCCGCCGCGAAGAAGTCTGATCCGGTGGACGTGCAGAGAGGAACCGCCGGTCAGCCAGGCGACGCCTCGCAGGTCGAGCACATCGTCATCAAAAAGAAACCCAAGTGTAAATGCTGTGTGATACAATAACTATTACGAAGAGAGCCTCTTTTTTAGTCAATAGACTTTGTTGTTATATATTTTATAGAACAAGAAAATCCCGGACGGGACGAGAGAAAAAAAAATACATATATTATATATTTATGAGTACATTATGTATATACATATCCACCAATATATGTATAGATTTCAAACAAGAAAATATATCGATGCATATGTACATACATAACAAGGAAAAAAAATGGAGAAAAAAAAGTATATTGCGAAGCTGAGATGTGCTTTGAGACGCTTTTACCAGCCACACACATACATACACACACACACAAAAATACTAATTTATTTTATCTTCTCTCTGGCTTCACGCAGCTCTTCAAATAATAATAATAATCCTTAAGTTTTAGTACAAAAAAAAAATTAATAAGTGTATAATGAAGAGGATCGTCTTCAGAGAAACGTAATTAAAAAAAAAGGGAAACATATCTTGAAGCCGACCATTTGATTACCACCAATCGATTTGAATGAAAAAAAAATAAGAGAAAACGCGGTGCAAAAAAGGCCTGGTCTAAATCTAATTTAAATTTAATTTTGTGCTCTTCAAAAGAACTACAACTACATAGTATATATATTTAAATATTTAAAGAGGAAAGCAAATATATATAAATTAATTTATATAATTACTAAATATCGTATATATATTTTTTAAATATTATTTGTTTTTATTATTATTATTGTTTATTTAAATTATTATTATTTTGTATGTGATCTAAGTCAAAAGAAAAAATGAAAAACGAACGATTCCCTGCGTTTTCTTTCTCCACCTTCGATTTCAATCATTTCGAAATACTTTTGTTTAGTAAATTTCAAATTATTTTTGTTTTTTTTTGATTCATTTTATATAAGTATAAAGTTTGTAAAAGTTTTGAACAATAAGAAATAACATCGTTGGTCAAATCAAATTTTTAAAAATTATTAATTATTTTGTTTGTTTTTTTTAATTAATTGAATTTGAATCGATTTGGTTGAGAAAGAGAAGCAGGGACATTTATTTGACTTGACTTGAAAATATGTAAATTATAAAAGAAGATGAGAAATCAAACCTTTGAGAAAGGTTTGTATTTTTTGTTTGTTTATTAAAGAAACAAAACAAAATTATATTATATTCTACTTAAATCAAATCGTCAATGCAATTAATATGTTTATTTGTTTTTCTGTTTTGTTTTAATTTATAATGCCTGTAGCAACTACGATCCAATAATTTATTTTGTGTAATGTGTAAATTTATGTACGATATTTTGATGATAATTATGATGATGAACGAAGAAACAGCAGCTTTACAAAAAATTTGTTATTCCACTCGATGATATTTCTTTTCTAATTGTTTTTTTTTTTCGGACGAAACGAAAGGAGCTTTTTATTATTACTATTATTATATTATAATTATACACGATTATTTCTTACAAATCATCATTATATATATATATATAAAAAGTATTAAAAAGAATAATAATAATAAAACAAACAAAAAAAAACAACAACAACAAGAAAGAAAAAGATTTTTTATTTTTATTTGTCTTTTCAATAATAATTTTTGTTTTCCAGCGCTTGCTTTGTGCGTTGGAAAGGGAAATAAAACAAAAGTTTTCAACGCTACGTCGATTAATATTGCCTTAACAATTAAAGGGAATTTTTGCGAAGAAATTCTTGGATTAATTTAACTTTCGGCAATGGATTTCATTCATGTTTTTTTCTTAATGAAACAATCGATTGATGATGCATTGAAACAAATGAAGAAGAGAAAAAAACAAATTGATTATTAATTATTTAATGACAAAAGAAACAAATGAACAAAAAAAAACAAACAAATGATTTTAGATTTTGTAAGAAGCCTTCATTCAATTAGACCATAAGATGACATAACATTGTTTCGTTGCCACTAGATTCTAAACAAATATTAGAAACAATTGATTCGTTAGACGAAAAAAAAACGTTCTTTAAAACAAAAGAAATCAATCATATTTTGGTTTTATTTTAAAGATTTTTGTAACATCAGATTATTTCATTTTTTGAAAATTACAAGGACTAAAGAAAAAAAAACAATCCGTTCCTAAAGATGAAGGAGAAAACAAAAACTAAGTGAAAATGTGTTCAAAATTGAAATCTCGTGCAAAGCGTTTTGTTCTTTGCGCAAGTGTAGAAATAAGCGAATCCTAAAGTTGCAGAAATGAGAATGAAAAAAGAAAAAAAAAACACAAGTAAAGTTGGCTAGGCTATAATAAGTGAATTTTAGAAATTTCGATTTAAATGAATGAAAGATAAATTTACTTGCAAAAATAGTTTGTATGAAAATAAAAAAAGAACAAGTTCTGTTGATAAATCCCCGCTCTCTTGATAAATTCTTCCCCCGAAAGCTTCTAAACTGAATTCAAAACAAAACGAAAAAAAAAACTGTTGTCGTGCAGAATTAAGCTGTAAAAGCGCGTGTGAAAATAAGGAGAGATTATGAAGAAGATGCAAGTGTTATTTATATATATTGTGTAAATATTTAGAGATTTAGATGATTTAAGAGAAGGAAAATTGTATAATAATAAACTTTAAAAAAGGAGAAATAACGGAAGCGAAGGAAGAGAATTAAGAAGCAAGCAAAAGCACCATTTCCTCTGATTATGTTCTTTGGATTTGTCTAGTATGAAATACTTATTTTTATATATGAAACATAACAAAATACACACACTACATTACACAAATGACTAAAACAGAAGACATATTAATATACACACTGAGTTGAGGGCCAAAAACCTGTTCAAAATCAAGCTACAAACAAAACTAGAAACAAAAGAACGCGCCAAAATTGGTGGTCCAAATTGCCAAATTTCGAGAAAACAAAATTGCAAATTTATGTTTGTTTATTTAGAAATCATTCGTGTAATCAAGTTAGTTTCGTGTCCATTGATTTACTGTATAGTTAACAATATATATTGAATATACACGTTGTGTTTTTTTTTATATATATGTGAAATATAGTGAATATTATTATTATTATTAATAATAAGTACGTGTACAATTTCGTTTGTGTTTTTGAGTTACAGCGATTTTGTCCAAATTTGATTGTCGCAACTGTAAACACAATAAATCTATACACTAAAACACAAACACACCGAGAGAATACTGAAGAGAATGTTGATGATGATGATGATAACGATGATGGTTATGTGAAGAGGATGAGAGGAGTTTTAGAGATACAGAGAGATATAAACATATTTTGTAATTATTTTTTATTTATACTAATATTATTTTCTTCACTGACTTTTAAACGGTTAAATAAAGAATACGAGAAAAGTGCGAGTGACGTTTTTATTTCTATATCCTTTCATAAGACAATTTCCTTAAAAAAAAACAACAATTGTATTCGAAATTTTTGTAAAGTAGGCTTTGAAATAAATGAATTAACGAATTAGACAACAATTTCCTTAAAAAAAAACAAGTGCAAGTGTATTTCACCAATTATTGTAAAGTAGGCTTTGAAATGAAAGGAATTAATGAATTAGACATAAGAAACAAATTCACTAGAGCTATAAATGCAGTGTAGTATTAACTTTGAAATTGATTTTCATTACAATAATTTCCTTAAAAAAACAATTGTGTTCAACATTTTTGTAAAGTAGGCTTTGAAATAAATGAATTAACGAATTAGAAAACAATTTTATTAAAAAAACAAGTGCAACTGTATCTTACAAATGTTTATAAAGTAGGCTTTGAAGTGAAAGGAATTGACGAATTAGACATAAGAAACAAATGCATTAGAAGTAAAAATTCAGAGTAGTATTAACTTTGAAATTGATTTTCATTACAAGAATTTCCTTAAAAAAAACAATTGTATTCAAAATTTTTGGGAAGTAAGCTTTGAAATAAATGAATTAATGAATTAGACAACAATTTCATTAACAAAAACAAGTGCAAGTGTATCTTACAAATGTTTATAAAGTAGGCTTTGAAATGCAAGGAATTGAAGAATCAGACATAAGAAACAAATGCATTAGAACTAAAAATTCAGAGTATTAACTTTGAAATTGATTTTCATTACAACAATTTCCTTAAAAAAACAATTGTATTTACATTTTTTAGGAAGTGGGCTTTGAAATAAATGAATTAATGAATTAGACAACAATTTCATTAACAAAAACAAGTGCAAGTGTATCTTACAAATGTTTATAAAGTAGGCTTTGAAATGAAAGGAATTGACGAATCAGACATAAGAAAGAAATGCATTAGAACTAAAAATTCAAAGTTAAAATTGAAATTAATTTTCATTACAACAATTTCCTTAAAAAATCAATTGCATTCAAAATTATTTGCGAAGTAAGCTTTGAAATAAATGAATTAACGAATTAGGCAATAATTTCCTTAAAAAAAAACAAGTGCATGTGTATCTTACAAATGTTTATAAAGTAGGCTTTGAAATGAAAGGAATTGACGAATTAGACATAAGAAACAAATGCATTAGAAGTAAAAATTCAAAGTAGTATTAACTTTGAAATTGATTTTCATTACAAGAATTTCCTTAAAAAAAACAATTGTATTCAAAATTTTTGTGAAGTAAGCTTTGAAATGAAAGGAATTGACGAATTAGACATAAGAAACAAATGCATTAGAACTACAAATTCAGTATTAATTTTGAAATTGATTTTCATTACAACAATTTCCTTAAAAAAACCATTGTATTCGAAGTTTTTGAGAAGTAGGCTTTGAAATAAATGAATTAACGAATTAGACAACAATTTCATTAAAAAAAAAAAGTGCAAGTGTATCTTACAAATGTTTGTAAAGTAGGCGTTGAACTGAAAGGAATTGACGAATCAGACATAAGAAACAAATGCATTAGAAGTAAAAATTCAGAGTAGTATTAACTTTGAAATTGATTTTCATTACAACAATTTCCTTAAAAAAAACAATTGTATTCAAAATTTTTGTGAAGTAAGCTTTGAAATGAAAGGAATTGACGAATTAGACATAAGAAACAAATGCATTAGAACTACAAATTCAGTATTAATTTTGAAATTGATTTTTATTACAACAATTTCCTTAAAAAAACCATTGTTTTCAAACTTTTTCTAAAGTAAGCTTTGAAATAAATGAATTAACGAATTAGACAATAATTTCCTTAAAAAAAAAACAAGTGCAAGTGTATCTTACAAATGTTTGTAAAGTATGCTTTGAAATAAAATGAATTGACGAATTAGACATAAGAAACAAATGCATTAGAACTAAAAATTAAAAGTTAAAATTGAAATTAATTTTCATTACAACAATTTCCTTAAAAAAACAATTGTATTCAAACTTTTTTGGAAAGTAGGCTTTGAAATAAATGAATTAACGAATTAGACAACAATTTCCTTAAAAAAACAAGTGCAAGTGTATTTCACCAATTATTGTAAAGTAGGCTTTGAAATGAAAGGAATTGACGAATCAGACATAAGAAACCAATGCATTAGAACTAAAAATTCAGAGTAGTATTAACTTTGAAATTGATTTTCATTACAAGAATTTCCTTAAAAAAAACAATTGTATTCAAAATTTTTGGGAAGTAAGCTTTGAAATAAATGAATTAATGAATTAGACAACAATTTCATTAACAAAAACAAGTGCAAGTGTATCTTACAAATGTTTGTAAAGTAGGCTTTAAAATGAAATTAATTGAAGAATTAGACATGTTTCTTATGTCTGTATCTCACCAATTATTGTAAAGTAGGCTTTGAACTGAAAGGAATTGACGAATTAGGCATAAGAAACAAATGCATTAGAAATTAATTTTCAATAAAATATTTGCTTAAAAAAAAACAAGTGTGTCCTACAAATGTTTTTAAAGTAGGCTTTGAAATAAAATGAATTGACGAATTAGACATAGAAAACAAATGAACTATTATTTTGTGAAGAAATACTATAAAATAGAGATTGTCGACTAATAAACATTCTAATTTGTTATTTGTAAACAAGGAACTGTTATCAAGTGAAGATTTCGCAATACGTTTTATCGCAATCTTCGATGCACATTTGAAATTTCTCTCTATATATAAGAGCACTACGTTTGATATTTGAACGCAATTAAAGTAATTGAGTTGAAAGATGAGGATCGTTCTTGCTGTTGTTGTTTTAGCTATAACTCTGATTTCGGCTGAGGTAAGTGTTTTGAAATATGTTCATTTTTTGATATATTTCCAATTTATCTTTAGGCCTGGAGCGAGTTGAAACTGAAGTTGTCAAACAATGCCCAGAATTGCAAAGAATCGAGTCAAGTCGATCCGGATTTGATTACAAAAGCGCAGAAAGGTGAATTCGTCGAGGATCCGAAATACATGAATTACACCTTCTGCTTGACCAAAGCTATGAACATCTTAGATGCCGAAGGGAATTTCAAGGAGAAGAATTTGCTGACCAATCTGCTGGATAATGTTCACTCGATGCTGAAGAGTTGCGAAGCTGAGAGCGAAAAGGAGACGGGAAATGGAAAGAGATCTTTCATCTATTTGAGATGTTTGCAGGATAGTTTTCTAAACGACGTCAATATGTCAAAGAACGCTTTTGATTAATTAATGTACTTTATTTAGTAAATAAATGAATATTGTCTACAATTTAATTTCATTAATGTTTAATAAATTACAGCCAAACGTATGTAGTTACAAATATAACAACATACACCTTTGATTCCACAAATATTTAGCTTCAATTTTTATCCTTAATCGACTTTCTACGATTTATACGTTTTGAGTAATTTATGAAAACGTGAATACACTGCTTTTACAAAACTTAATTTTTCATTCTTTCATATTTGACTGCTAATTACAGCCAAACTTCTAGAGTTACAAATATAACAACAAACACTCTTTATTCCACAAATATTCAGCTTTCATTTCCATGTTCAAACATTTTTTTACGATTTATACGTTTTGAGTAATTTATGAAAACGTGAAGACATTGCTTTTACGAAACTTAATTTTTTATTCTTTCATATTTGACTGCTAATTACAACCAAACGCTTAAAGTTACAAATATAACAACAAACACCTTTGATTCCACAAATATTCAGTTTCAATTCTCATCCTTAATCGACTTTCTACGATTTATACGTTTTGAATAATTTATGAAAACGTGAAGACATTGCTTTTACGAAACTTAATTTTTCATTTTTTCATATTTGACTGCTAATTACAACCAAACGTCTAAAGTTACAAATATAACAACAAACACCTTTTATTCCACAAATATTCAGCTTCAATTCTCATGCTTAATCAACTTTCTAAGATTTATTCGTTTTGACTAATTTATGAAAACGTGAAGACTGCTTTTACGAAACTTAATTTTTCGTTCATTCATATTTGACTGCTAATTACAACCAAACGCCTAAAGTTACAAATATAACAACAAACACCTTTTATTCCACAAATATTCAGCTTCAATTCTCATGCTTAATCAACTTTCTACGATTTATACGTTTTGAATAATTTATGAGAACTTACAGACACTGCTTTTACGAAACTTAATTTTTCGTTCTTTCATATTTGACTGCTAATTACAACCAAACGCCTAAAGTTACAAATATAACAACAAACAACTTTGATTCCACAAATATTAAGCTTCAATTCACATGTTTAATCAACTTTCTACAATTTATATGTTTTGAGTAATTTATGAAAACGTGAAGACACTGCTTTTACAAAACTTAATTTTTCATTCTTTCATATTTGACTGCTAATTACAGCCAAACGTCTAGAGTTACAAATATAACAACAAATACCTTTTATTCCACAAATATTCAGCTTCAATTCTCATGTTTAATCAACTTTCTACGATTTATACGTTTTGAGTAATTTATGAAAACGTGAAGAAACTTAAATTTTTGTTATTTCATATTTGACTGCTAATTACAACCAAACGTCTAAAGTTACAAATATAACAACAAACACCTTTTATTCCACTAATAGTCAGCTTCAATTCTCATGTATAATCGACTTTCTACGATTTATAAGTTTTGAATAATTTATGAAAACGTGAGACACTGCTTTTACAAAACTTAATTTTTCGTTCTGTCATATTTGACTGCTAATTACAACCAAACGCCTAAAGTTACAAATATAACAACAAACACTCTTTATTTCACAAATATTCAGCTTTCATTTCCATGTTCAAACATCTTTCTACGATTTATACGTTTTGAGTAATTTATGAAAACGTGAAGACATTGCTTTTACGTAATTTAATTTTTCATTTTTTCATATTTGACTGCTAATTAAAACCAAACGCCTAAAGTTACAAATATAACAACAAACACCTTTTATTCCACAAATATTCAGCTTCAATTTTCATGTTTAATCAATTTTCTACGATTTATACCTTTTGAATAATTTATGAAAACGTGAAGACACTGCTTTTACAAAACTTAATTTTTCGTTCATTCATATTTGACTGCTAATTACAACCAAACGCCTAAAGTTACAAACATAACATCATACACCTTTTATTCCACAAATATTCAGCATCAATTATCATGCTTAATCAACTTTCTACGATTTATACGTTTTGAATAATTTATGAAAACGTGAAGACACTGCTTTTACGAAACCTAATTTTTCATTCTTTCATATTTGATTGCTAATTACAGCCAAATGTCTAGAGCTATAAATATAACAACAAACACCATTGATTCCGTAGATATTCAGCTTCAATTCTCATGCTTAATCAACTTTCTACAATTTATACGTTTTGAGTAATTTATGAAAACGTGAAGACAATGCTTTTACGAAACTTAATTTTTCGTTCTTTCATATTTGACTGCTAATTACAGCCAAACGTCTAAAGTTACAAATATAACAATAAACACCTTTTATTCCACAAATATTCAGCTTCAATTATCATCCTTAATCGAATTTCTACGATTTATAAGTTTTGAATAATTTATGAAAACGTGAAGACGTACGAAAACCTACATATAGTTTAGAATTTAGGAATCTCATGTTTTTGTTATGCATTCGATGCATTTTCGCACTTTGATTTATCTAGAAGTATATTTATAATAAACACGCTCCGATTTATCTAGAATATTTCTTAATTGCCAACGAATGTCATAACAACTTTATCAACAATTCCCGATATAAAAGCAAACAGTTCATGCACATCTTCAATTAAAAATATCACGTCTAAACATGAGGAGAGTTCTCTTAGTTATAGCTTTAGCTTTTACGCTAGTTTCGGGCGAGGTAAGTCCTGTTATGTAACAAAGAAAAAAAGGATCGTTGAGTTTGTTAATTTTGGTTTCAGGGTTGGACCGAATTTAAAACGAAAGTCAACGAATTTTCAGAGCACTGCGTGAATTCCACCAACGTCGACGATGAATTAGTCGTGAAATCGATGATGGGTGAGTTCGTCGATCATCCGAAATTCCTGGACTACACTTTCTGCATGGCCAAAGAGATGGAATTCATGGACGAAGATGGAAAGTTTGCGGAGAAGAACTTCTTGACGCACCTTCTGGACTATTTCAAGACGATGTTGAATGGTTGCGTTGTCGATGCGGAGAAGGAGACGGGCGGCGAGAAGAGATCTTTCAAATTCGTCAAATGTTTGATCGCAATCATCGATAACAATTTAAATATGACTGAAATATAAAGAGATTTTCAATCTTCACTTTGAGAATACAACAGTAATGTTATTTGAATAAATAAACTTATATTATTATGTTTTGTGTTTCTTTTCTTAACAATAATGTACAGCAAAATCGTCTAATCATAATTACAGACATGAAACTATATGAAAATATTACACTTTTTCTTGTAACGTCTTCAACAGAAACAATGAGACAAATTGTTACAGATTTTCAATTACGTTCAATTAAATCAAATTTTATTTGATTTTTGTTCAACAATCATTAAAATTACGATGTAATCAATTAACATACAATTAATTGTGAACGCAATAATAACATGTAGAAATGGTTTGCTGAAAACGAGAAATCGAACAATTTCTCGTGCAATGAACAACAATAATAACTGGAGAAGAATGTGGATTATGTAAAAAAAAAAAATATAATAGTAATAAAGAAGTAGTTCACATTCCTACGAAGAACGAAGACTTTTCATCTAACATCAAGAAGGAAGTCTCACGATCAGAAAACAATGTATATATTTTTTTTCGTGTATAGTATAAACATTGCGTAAAATTTGATGGAAATATTTATAATTTAGCTTGTTCTTTTTTTTTTTTCTTCTCTTCTATATTTCAATCATACATTGTTATTTATCAATTTAGCAAACAAAAGAGTTTGTTTACAGTTAAATCATTCTCTTTTAAGTGTGATTAATATCATTATTAGTAAATAGAATGACGAAAGATGTTTTTAATTAATTTTTAAGTTGAATTAATTACGAAAACGATTATATTAATGAGAATTTCTTCTAATTTATAAGTTTGAATGTTAAAAAATCCAAGAAGGTTATTGATCTGATGCTTGATTATCAAGGAGGTTGTGAAATGGATCATAAGTTGATATAAGGTACTGGGCGAATTTCATTGATGCCAGAGAGCGCAAGAAAGTTGTTGGTTTTTATTAGCGTGGTGCAAAAAGTAGCGACGAAGTTTTTTGGTTTAAACACGAATTACAGCCAAACGGCTAAAACCATAGTAATATATCGATACTTCCTAGATTCCCCA